GTAATGGAGTTATTTTTTTTTATTTTTATTCCCCAAAGTCCAGAATTTTCATCTTAAAACTTGAGATCGGTTTTTACCATGTGTTTAACGTTTGGTACAACAATGTAAAGAAAGCCATTATCTTTTGATCAATGGAAGATGTTTTCCATTGAAATAAAACATAGATGTTGCTGCACATTAACATCATTAACAGACAGATAAAATCAGGTTTGCTGATATTGTTATTTGTTATGTTTTAAAGTCTGGTCCAGGATGTACCTGCCTCTCTCATAATTAGCCCAGATTCATCCACCCATACATCCAGACTCTCTAAAGTCGAATCCAGCCATCCTATAGTGGAAACACATCCCATCTGTTTTTATATCCAGGATCTTGTTTCCATAATCATGATCCATATCTTAGATAGTAAGTGAGAGCCAGAATGTAAACAAATCCATTTTTTTGTTTTAAAAGTAGTGCCTGCATTACTGCATACTAACGGCCTCAATCCTCTACAAAACTTAGAAAGCTGAACTCCTCCAGTTGGGGCAGAGACTGACCTCTGACCTGTTCTTACACTGGTAACAGTAAACAAAACTGTGAATAACAACCTGCCACCACCTTTGTGTAATAATGTGTTTTTATCAAACGTGTGAGCAGACAGGCTGCACTGTGGCGATTGTCTTAGCTACTGTACGTTTCTTAGCAGCACTCGTATCCTGGTTTAGCCCAGGAGCTTCTATGGGTTTTCTGTTTTTTCAGCTTGTGTGTTTAGGTTCTGTTTGGTAGGATGGATGGATGGATGGATGGATGGATGGATGGATGGATGGATGGATGGATGGATGGATGGATGGATGGATGGATGGATGGATGGATAAAAAGATGGATGGATGGATGGATGGATGGATGGATGGATGGATGGATGGATGGATGGATGGATGGATGGATGGATGGATGGATAAAAAGATGGATGGATGGATGGATGGATGAAGGGTTGAAAAGATGGGCAGATGGATGGATGGATGGATGGATGGATGGATGGATGAAGGGTTAAAAAGATGGATCGATGTACGGACGGACAGACAGACGGACGGATGGATGGATGAAGGGTTGAAAAGATGGGCGGACGGATGGATGGATGAAAAGGTGGATGGATGGATGGATGGATGGATGGATGGATGGATGAAAAGGTGGAAGGATGGATGAAAAGATGGATGGGTGGGTGACTGGGTGGATAAATGAAAATAAAGATGGAGGCATTAATAGACGGATGGATGGATGGATGGATGAAGGGTTGAAAAGATGGGCAGATGGATGGATGGATGGATGGATGGATGGATGAAGGGTTAAAAAGATGGATCGATGTACGGACGGACAGACAGACGGACGGATGGATGGATGAAGGGTTGAAAAGATGGGCGGACGGATGGATGGATGAAAAGATGGATGGATGGATGGATGGATGGATGGATGGATGGATGGATGGATGGATGGATGGATGGATGGATGGATGGATGGATGGATGGATGGATGGATGGATGAAAAGGTGGAAGGATGGATGAAAAGATGGATGGGTGGGTGACTGGGTGGATAAATGAAAATAAAGATGGAGGCATTAATAGACGGATGGATGGATGGATGGATGGATGGATGGATGGATGGATGGATGGATGGATGGATGGATGGATGGATGGATGGATGAATGGATGGATGGATGAAAAGATGGAAGGATGGATGAAAAGATAGATGGATGGGTGACTGGGTGGATAAATAAAAATATGGATGGAAGGATCAATAGATGTATTGATGAAAAGATGGGTGGATGGATGAAAGGATTGATGAAAGGATGGATTGATGGAAGGATGAAAGGATGGATGCCATAACTGTAGCTGTATCAAACTCAGTTCAACACAGGGATCCAGTCATTTATCAGAAGTTCAGATATACTGTAGCTCAGTTTGAGATTTTAGCGGTTAAAGCTGTGAATGCTCCAAGTTTGTTTAGAAAATAATTTGCCCAGTTATGTTGCTGCTGTTAAATTGAAAAATGACATTATGAGATTAGAGAAAGGAGGATCACAGAGAGGAGTGGTCTCCTCCCCCTAATAGGACGAACCAGTACATCCATCTGTGTCTGTCCTGTCCATCAGTGCTGAAAATGGCCTGTGAAATCAAAGTTTGTCTTACAGGAAGTGTCATCAATGCCTCTCTTAATTCGTGCAGTGCTGCCACTGGGGCCATATCCCCACTCTCCCAGGGCTGGCGGCACGAGGAGAGGAAACGTAAAACAAGAGGGATTCTATTAAAAGGTGTCAGCCAGCAACTAGATATCAATAACCTCCATGTATGCAGAGCAGAGAGTAAACTCCTGGGAGTCTGTGGTTTCACTTTGTGTGTGTGTGTGTGTTGATTCTCTCTGCTTTCTAGCTTTATAGGGTTAGAAGTATTTCCATGTATCATGTCTCCTATTTGTGCCATTAAGCAGTTTTTCATGTTTGACACCATACCATATCAGTTAATCATTGCATTATTGAGCCAAACCTGCAGTGCTGTGATTATTGTTCATATTTCCTAATAGGGAAGACAGGACTTTAATGTCAGCCACAGCTACATGTTTGACTTGATTTCTTTAGTTCCTCTCATAGACTGAGTTATGCCTTGATCATGAATCATTCTAAACCAGAACTCTTCCCTCTGTGCAGCACTGCAGCCTGAATGTGATGCACGGCATCAATATACAAAACAGTGACCATCAGGTAGCTGGATTAACTGTTTCACCGGTTGTTCCTCAGCTCATCACAGACAAAGATGTTACAACAAAAACTAGAGCTTTTATAGCACATTGTTGTGTTTAAAGTGTACCATTTCCTCACATCAAATACATGTTTAATAACTACTGAGCATAACCTCTTCTTAATAACTTCTGAGAAATGGAAAAAAGGAAAGAGAGACAATAGTCCTGCACAAAAAAGTCTGGTGATGAAGACATCAGAGATGGGTGGACTAGATAGAAACTGTACTCAGTTGAGGGAATCAGTGTTAGGCCCAGTGGCGGCGCAGGGGTTAAACATGCAACCTATTTAAGTAGGCCTCTGTTTTCAAAATGAATGTCACAGGCTGATGGACTATGCATCTGCTCCCCCCAAATCTCAATTTCTTTCTTCTATAGAAAAATAACAACATTAAATGCTTTTTTTCGCCCACAAAGATCTAAAAAGCAACAAAACTTCAGCGTATTTTTACTCAAGCAGAGTAAAAAGTAGCCTCTGAAGAAATCAATCAAAAGTGACAAACTGGGCGTGCTTTGGTGGTGCAGTGATTAGTGCACACAACCCATGTATGGAGGCATTAGTCCTCGATGCGGCTGACCCAGGTTTGAATCTGACCCGTGGTCCTTTGCCGCATGTCTGTCCCCCTCTCTCATACCCCCTTTCCAGTCAGTCTAATGTCGAATAAACAAGCCACTAGTGCCATAAAAGCTTAAAAAAAAGGAAACTATTGTGGTAAAATGGCTACTTGGGGACTGAATAAACAACCCATGATGACAGCTTTATTATTTTCATATAGTCACATCGAAGAGACAGAAACAAAGTTATTTAAAATTCTAGAATATTAAAGATTAGAATTAAAGAAGCACAGGTCTGAACAGCTTTCTTGTAAGCCAAGCCCCAGAAAGAAAGGGTTTAGGAACCACTTTTTTATTAATATACATCAACAAAGTTGTGTATTACTATCTTAAGAATGTATCTTGTTTTTTTTCTGACCTAATTTTAAATAACTTAATAAATAATTCACAAACTAACTTAATAATGACTAACTTCCCCTAACTTCCTTACCATAGTCTCTAACTTCACTTTGTCTGCTCTTGATGTCTGCAGGATATTTTTTAAAGCTTGCCCACCACATAAGATCTTAACATCAACAATCTGTTTACATTTAAAAGAAAAATCTGAAAATTGACAAGAAAGTCGGAAAGTTTAATAAATGATGAAATTATGAGAACAATAAAAGATAACCAGATTATTTCCATTGACTAGATTTATCTATGTTATTTTCAGGCAATACATCCTAACTATAGATGATTACTTATTGAAAAGCCTCTACTTTTGTTTGCACACAGTGTGGTGGGTGTGTACACTCAGCCTCGCCCTACTGCTGCTGTGAAGGACACGGTTCTGGTAACAGGATACAGTTTCCTTGGTTTGCACTGACTGTTTGGTCGGATCATGTAAGAATGTGTTGCTGCTCGTTGCTCGTCCTCACCCGCTATAACCGGAATAAATATTTCCACGGTTTGTTAGTAGACTCAGCTTCATCACCGCCGTGACTGACTCACCAATCCTGTTGTGGCTAACTCTGCAGAAGCTGACCTCTGACCTGGCTGGTGTGGAGCAGCAGAAAAAGGTTTTGAAAATGGAGCTGGAGCAGTGGAAGCGGGTAACATTCCCGTCCAAAAGTGCAGCTCCGGCAGCAGCACCAGTAAACACTGAATGTTCCTGTCAGGGCAGAACCGTACCTGCCCTCCAGTCCCTGGAGGCGGAGGTCAAACAACTTCAAGTCAAACTTAAGGTCAGTACTTATAGAGTTATTTATCTCCCCCCACACACTAGTTTCCTGTGCACGCCTTTGAGGTTTTAAATAATGTTTCCATTTCTAATTATTTGCTCTGTGGAGCTTGGATTAGAAAAATACCAACAATTTTGATTTGTTTGAGCATTTTTACCTTTATATTTGATGAAAAAACTGTTACCTTTTGCTTGTTTTGACCCCTTTGGTCATTTTTTTTGTTGCAGATGTGTTACATGCATCACTGTACCACAGTCCAGAGGTGCAGGATTAGACATGCGTCTTTAGTTGAGGAAAAAAAAAAGTCTCAGATTTCATCAAATATCAATTTCTAAAGCACTTTAACATTTCACTCAAAGTCTCAAAGTCCTTGAAGCTTCTGCGAGAAACTCTGTCAAGGTTTTACTTTTTCAGATCAGGCAAGAAAAAAGAAAGAAAACAAAATTTTCAGCCTTTTCATTTAATGTGAGCATCACCTGAAATTGCATGTGATTTCAACATGAATTAGCATTTCGTAGCATTTGATCTTATTTCAGTGCAGCTGTCAGAGAGATGAGATGTGTGTGAGGGTAGATGTAGCGATCCGCCCTGCGTGGCGGGGGAACGAGGTGCGAGCCGTGCCACAGCATCATCGCCCTCTCAGCAGCCCGCTCATCAGTGTCACCCGGCAGATTGCTGCTGTCGGTTCTCACGTCTGAGGAAGTCATGGCAGGCGACACCTTAACAAGAGAGAGGGAGGCACATATTTGACAGGAGCTTTTGATGGTGTCTTCAGCAGAAACAGGCCCTGCAAACCAGACGTGTCATCAGGACTCCCCGTCCTCTATTGGGATTAAATGAAACAAGTTTTAGATATGAAAATCCAAAACAAATCAGGATGTGAGAGTTTTTCTCAAATCAAGACACTTTTATCTATTTCAAAACGTATCCTTTCTGCTGTAAAATAATATTCTTTCTAACCTAGTTTAGCACCTTCTTGTCTTCCACTGTAACTATAATGAGAATGCATGCTGTGCTTGACCTGCTGTAAACGCCTCCCCCTTCCAGGCTCAAACGCTAAAACGTGCTAACAGACATTGGTACTGTGTGCCCTCTCCCCAGAGCACGAGTGGCGAAGTCACAAAGCAGATGGCCGCTAACAAAGCCCTGCGAGGACAGCTCCAGGAGAAGGAGGACAAGCTCTGCCAGCTGCAGGACAAGTCAGTTCCACCGCTGTCTTAATTAGTGCCGCTCGTCCTCCTCGTGGTTCCTTCATTTTGGTTGTTTCTCTGGTTTGCACCTTTTTCTCTACCACCTCTTTGTCTCCTCATCTCTCAGTGCTTTCTGTGCAGCTCTCATCCGCTGTGTTTGATTCCACCCTGTGGCGGCCCTCTCCCTGCTGCAGCATCTACTCACGCACGGCTGCCTCAGCAACCGAATGAGAACAACTAAAGGAACAAGTGTGTGATGATGATACAGGCGGCTGAGGGTAGCAGTGCAGGGCAAAAATTAGTCATACCCTTTAAACTCTATGTTTAGTGTTACACTAAAGTGTGCGGTTTTGTGTTCTACTTGGCTTTGGGGTAAAGGACAAAGGCAAAACATGCATCACTGTTGCATAATTTACAAACTGCTGTCTAATAAGTAAGGTGTGATTGCCACTGCCCCAAAACATGACTGTCTTACTTTAGCAGTGTCTTTCTTACAGCCTCTCTCCATGTTGAGATGATGGATGTTTAAAGCTTTGGGTGTTTATTTCAGAACCGAATGCTGCTTTAACAGTTTCCAGAACTCCCTCCCTGTCCTCAGACCTCCGAGGCCAGAAACAGAGCAGCTGTAATTATACAGAGAATAAATCACACGCAGGTGGGCTAATGAGGCGACTTCTGCAATAAGTCTCACTGGGTTTTATCTATTTTATTAGAGAGGGGGGACTGAATAGAAATCCACACCAACGTTTACAGAATTACTAAGATAAAAAAAAAAATGTAACTCGTTGATCTTTTCTCTGCTGCTGTGGGAGCATTTTGGTTCACGACACTCAAAAATCTAACTGAGCAGCATCCTGGCCTGGGGGCCACAGCCTCGCTCGAGTTGCAGGATTCCCTCAGTTTGGCTTTTACTGCAGTCTGCATGCAGGGCTGTGCAGGGTTCACTGCGGGAAACTGCTGGGATCTAAACAACGTCCTGCGTTTGCACTCAAAGAAAGGCTGCAAAGAACTACTTGGCTTTCCTCTGGTTGTGTTTGTCCGCTCCGCTCTGTCCTCTGCCTGACTTTCTCAATAATACATCCAAGGATGTGCTTACAATCAGAGCAGACGCGTGTTTGTGTGTGACCAAAACGTGGAGGATCACAGCCCGACAGATGGAGCTTCCCTCAGCTCCGTTTTCTGCCACATCCTTCACATGTTTGTCGCTCTCGCACGCAAACGTAACCCAGGATCTTTCTTGGCCCTGCCGCTCCACGGAGGGACTTCTCCTCAGAATGAAAGACATGTCTAGACGTCTCTGAAATATACATCTCAGCGCACACACGGGGAGCAAGAAGAGAAGAGAAGGGGGGGAGAAAAAGGAATGAATTTCAAAGTACACCGGCATGTCCTCAGTCAATATCCGGCACTATGGCGCTGCCTTATTTATGAAGCTGCTGCTTTCATCTTTAGCCCTGTTGTCTATCAGCCACATGAAACATCCATCCTTCTCCTCATGCCTAACAACATACGAGGAAAAGTGCTCTCTCGCTCCTCGCTAACGCTCTTCAGACCACTGACTGTTGTTATTACAATGCACGCATGCTTGATGAACAATATCGGCAACAAGCCCAGAACAAAGGGAACAAACGTGCGAGTGATGGGGATGTAGTTCCAGTTCTTCCCACTAACGCTCATAAATAGAGATCACATGATCCGGCAGAAGTTGGGCATATCGCTCATTCTTTTTTATCCTCTATTCTTTTTGGGGTGTGTGGGAGAAAAAGAACATCTAAAATAAATGTTGTCCATCTAATTGCCATTAGCAGTGGGGCAGAGGGAGCTGCCGGGTCTCTTATTGCTGCTCTCCGTCTTTAAGTCAACAGCAGACAGTCATCTGAAAGGTTCAATATGGGTTTTCTCATTAATGGCCAAATCCATTGGGTCACCAGCCAGCGCTTCTCCCCCCCCACCCCCTCTAAAAGTCCCCAGGTTAGACTCCCCTCTCATTTAATTTAATGTCACTCCAATAGGACACGCTCTCACTTATTTACCCAGCCCACCCTCCATGGCTCATCCACCTAGAGAGACGGGGACATTTGCTTTAGCGTTGCGTCATCTGTTTATTTAAGAAGCGCACAACATGCTGGGTGTGTGCGTAAGCTAAGAGAAGCCATTACATCTCTGAATTAAAAAGAAATATTCCACTTAATTAACTGCATCCTTATGATCTTTATTCTATTTGTTCCAGCTCCCTGAGGTACGGACAGCCATGAAAATGCCTTATGTCTGCTTTTTTATGAAAACAGAATAAAACATGCTAAGATACTCAGACCACTTAAAAGAAGGCCTCTCTGCAGAAATCAGGAATATTAAGCATGTAAATAGAGAGGATAATTGATATAGGAAGTGACATGCGTGTTGAGACATAAACAGTTTACATGGCACAGACATTGTTCCTCTTAAGGGACCCGCTCTCTTACAAACAGCTTTTTTTATTTTTATTTTTAGCGCATGTTTCCTTTATAAGCCGGCCCCTCTGCAGAACGCCTCCCCGTTGATGTATTTATATGACTGAGCTGTAAAATAATAAACGTTTAAACGCTGCATTACAGTCCCTCACGCCGTGTCGCTGCTGATTCAAGACGCAGTTTGTCAAATAGGACTCCCCAGTCACACTTAAAGCGGCAGTCCCTGCCACAGCATTTGTTCTAATATATGCCAGTTAGTATTACACATGCATCCCTATTTTACGCCCCTCCACTCACCCAAGCAGCATGCCAGTAGTGTATTTAGTTGTCATAATGAGCTGTCATGGCTGATGCAGCGCGTTGGGGCACTGCGCCTGCCAGCCCGGCCTGTGTGTGTTTGTGTGTCGTTCTCCACATTCTGTCTGTTGAGTCTGCTGCGTGTAGATGGAAGGTGCAGTTGAGAACGCAGTGGCAGGGGAATGACGTCTTTCTGTCTCTTCTTCTAGGGTGAGCCACACAGAGAGAGACGTTGCTATGAAAAGGCAGCTGGTGGAGGACCTGAGGACCAGATTAAAGGTCCTGCAGGAGATGGAGAAAAGTTACCGGGGTCAGGTGGAAGAGCTTGAGAAGAAGGTGGGAAGAAATTATTGAGCCTTACTATACATGGCTTCAGCTCAGCGATTAGATGTAGACTTTGACTGGACTATTTAAACATATGGAGGTGTTTTTATGTAAGCCACTGGTTCGTTTAGATGTAGACCGCATCTAAAGAAACACAAGAAGGGGCGATCAGCTAAGTGAGCTTAGTGCTTGGAAAAAATCTTTCACTCCTTTTGAGACAGCATGAAAAGTCAGCTGAGTACAAGACAGAGAGGAAAACAACAAGAAAAAGGAGAAAAAGAAAGTAATTTATGTCTATTCTATTTCTTTATCTGCATAATGCGTTTGTTTTATGGGTTGTCTTATCAATTGAGAGGTTCCCCTGTCTGTCTTTACTTTGGGCCCCAAATTTCCTAAATCCGCCCCTGCCCTCTACTCTCAGATATGTTTCTGTAAAGTAAAATGAAAAACAGCCAATCTTTTCCCTTAATTTCAAAGTAAAAATTCTACTTTTAATCTTTTAGATTAAAGTAGGATTAGAAAAAACTGTTTACTGAGTAAAAAGAATGAAGTATTTTAACCCCTTCTGGCTGATTCCTGTTTTGTGCTTTCTCTCTGTTCAGGTAAAGATGCTTTCAGAGGAGGCCTCAAACAGGAAGGCACTGATTGAGTCCCTGAAGCGGAGGTTAAGCGTCGCTACGACAGAGAAAGGCCAGTACGAGGCATCCTGTGCCAAACTGAGAGAGGACGTCGAGAAAAAGGTACGGCTAGTTATCAGTCAGAGGGACTGTCTGGAGGCTTTTAATGCTGCAAAGTTCTGATTTTATTTTCTCTAATCAACTGTTTGGGGGAGAGGGGGTTCTGATAAATATATGTTTGATGTTTTTCTGTTACTGTACCTTTTGCACTCCTACTTTACAGTTTTCCCTATCAAAATAACTCACCTCTGTTGACTCTAAGTTTTAATTCAATTGTTTTATTGAAAGTGGGATTTCTTTGAGGTGCTTTGTGTTTCTGAGACGTGATTGTTGACCTTTAGCAGGAAACCCTTAAAAAGAGACCTCAGCCTCAATTGGTTGGTTCTTACCAACCAAAAAAAAAAACTTGCTCTTTATTGGTAATGTTGAGCACATTTTCAATATATTTTTTCTGCTAATAATCTGTCTGCCTGTTTATGGCTTAGTGTTTAATTCCTTTAATAATACAGTTGTGCTTGAAGGTCTACATACCCTCCCACTGAATGATAAATTCACAATTCAAATAACACAATAATGAAAAAGGTAATGATAAACAAAAAATGTACTAAATAATAATCAGCTGAGGAGGCTCAGACATCTTTTTCTGATGCCCCCCTGGACGCCTCCCTCAGGAGGTGTTCCCGGCACGTCCCACCAGGAGGAAGCCCAGGGGACACACTGAGGGACTATGTCTCTCTTCTGGCCTGCAGCGCCTTGGGCTTCCCCCAGCAGGGGTGGAGGA